AATCTGTTTCCCATTGCGGGGAATAATAAACAGAAATTTTATAATTTTATATATCATAATTCGCACGTGCAAACAAAAACAAAAATAGAAGTAAAAAGCCGCCATTTTGTTGGTTATTTTCGAATTTTGAATGCAATATAAATATATATGTACAATGCAATCCCCAATCTTTAAAATTTTAATCAATCCAATAATATTTGTTTCCGTATATTCGAAGTGAATTTATAAGCAATGATACTTTTTTAATGCATTTCATATGTCAAATATTCGACGTTTCTTTTGATAGTTAAGGATGTTCGCTCCTATATTTCAAAATACCAGGCTTTTAAAAAGACTGTTATAAATAACGGAACTTAAAAATCAGAAAAAATGAAAGGTTCATGTCTTTGTTTTTGTGATTTCATCAATTGAAAATTTGGCGGGAAAATGATTCTCTCTTACTTTTGCGTTCATTAACCTTGGCACTTTCTTCTTTTAAAAAATATGAAAAAATAGCAAGGATTTTATAAGATTTTCAAAAATGGCTTTTTAAACTATACGTTATAAAATTATGAAAAGAAAAGAAGGGGTTAGCGGGCAAAATTTGTATTTGCACTACATGGATAAAACGAGAGGATTCCGAATATCTGACAAAACGTCAAAAACAAGAGTAGCGAACATCCTTAACTATAAAAATGGTTTAAATGTTATGATTATACATTGAGCTTACTTTAAGTAACTCCTGAATTGTGTTTTGTTATAACTTTTATATTTTACTTTTGAAGTATAGTACTTTTCCTGTACTAATTATTGTTACTATTGGATGTTCTTTAATGACGTTTTGATAATTTACTGATCGAGATTTACCAAAGGGAAAGTGTTGAGATATCTTTATAACCAATCGCATTTACGCAGTCCCATTTAAGTCATTAACCACTTTTGTAGTTGTCATAAGTAATTTCATCTGGAGAATTAGTTTTATTTAATTTATCCCCCCCCCCCCCCCTAAAAAAAACAAAAAACAACCTTATTCGTGTTTACTTTTTTTTCTTTTATTAAAGACAGAAAAAGTTTACCCATTATATTTTAAGGAAAAAATACATTTTAACCTGACATAATGCATCTTATATAAACGGCTAAAAGAGTAGGGACAATAAGGCCCTTTTTTGGCCTAATTATAAGTGCAAATTTAATAGTTACCATACATATTATAAAATTTGTCCTAACTACACTAAAGTACAAGGTGTTCAGAAAATAATAAAACAATTCACATGTAACGAGTTACCTTGGAAACAAATCATGACAAATTTTGTTGAATTTAAAAAAAATTCTTGATTTTCCTTGTTTTACGTTCACTTTTAAATATATATTAGATTGGAAAAGTATCTGCGCACCAAAGAAACAACTTTATCTTTGATAAGAATATGTCAATAGTTATAAAAAACTTCTCTTAAATTATTTTGTTGTTTCTTGTCTGCTCACAATGTTTCCACATAGGAAATAATGATGGAAAACTGCATAAACTCTGCAGTTTTCTTTGTTTTCACAAAAATGGTGCATATTGTGACGTAATTCTGACGTCAAAACATAATTGTTTTTATATAATCAATTTATATTTCTTGATTTTATGCATTTCCAAACATTATATGCAAATTTGAAATAGTTCTCAAAAACTTTATTTTCTTGGGCCAAGACCTGGCCTTAATGCCCTTACTTCTTTGATTTTAATGCAACAACAAAGAATATTCATTTTACTAAAGTGAGAAAATTATAATTAAATTATACTCTACATGCAGGCGCTGTGGAAATATTGCTACATACAAATGGAAAGTTCAAAATTGGGAAGCTGAAATCATCTCGTTTATCGAAAAGTTTTGCTCTCAACCGACCCTCATTGTTAATTTCTAGATGTAAATCGAGATATGATGCAGAATTAGTTGTATATTTTTTATCATTTATCTGAAGTTTAATGGGATAAGTCAAAGGCCTCGATATGACCAAATATGAATTAATTCAAAGCAATAGAACCCGCATAATCTATGCTTAAAAAGAAAAAAAAAACAAATATAACTAATACAAACCAATGACAACCACTGAATTACAGTCATAGTTAAGTATGCATTGGCGTTAAACATGCGTGTGACCGCTCAACCCTACCAAACCTGAGTCAGTGGTATAAATGCACAACATAAGAAAAGCTGTTAAAATCATTTGGAAAGTGCTTTACTGACCAGATCAGCATATAATACAACACGTCGAACAGAAAGAGAAAAGACAATACGTACCAATCTTAGACAGCCCATGAAAGTATCTCAAAGTCAATAACACCTAATAAATAAATTGTGTTTTCCAAAAATCGGTACTGTAAAAATAAGTATATTCAGATCATAATTATTGTTTGCATTGATGATATAAAAACTTTCCGGCTCTATAAACAATATGAACAGAAAGGTTAGGATGTGGTATCCTGTTTGTAATAAATTTTCTACAGACACAACCAAACTTCGAAATTTAAAAATGTGTAGCTTTGCAATAATTTAGTAAAGGTTTTCTGTTATCTATGATAAGGGAATGCCTGACAAAATAATTTACCAATTGGATATATATAACGTTTATTGCAATTAAGAAAATACAGAAACAATTCTTGCCGGGTACCACATGTGGAGTAGGATCTGCTTACCCTTCTGAAGCACCTGAGATCACCCCAGTTTTTGGTGGGGTTCGTGTTGCTCAGTCTTTAGTTTTCTATGTTGTGTTTTGTGTACTAGTGTTTTTCTGTTGGTCTTTTCTTTTTAAGCTATGCCGTTGTCAGTTTATTTCGACTTATGAGTTTGAATGTCCCTCTGGTATTTTTTTGCCTCTCTTTAAAAACGAGTTATAAAATTTACACAGTGTAAGAAGGTGCTTTAGAAACATATACGTCTAAGAAAGGAAAATTCACAATAGGTAACGAAAACTCGTCTTTCTTGTTGTAATTTGTGAATCGAGATTCGAATATGCAACTGATTTATATCAATCTAGAAAATGACAAGTATTGCTGTTAAAGTAATACAAATCTGAGGACGCTGAATTTGGCATGAAGTGGGGTTTATAACAACGAGAAAACTGTTTTTTGAAGAAGCAATACATTTAGTTTCTCAAAAATCAATAAATAAAGCAACATGAATTTGGTTAGATCAATCTTGATAAATGAATGTACGCATTTCCTGCTCTACATGTTACCAATGACAGGTTAAATTACAGTGGTAAGACGCATAATATGAAAACACAAAAAACTAGGAGAGAAGCCAATGTAACATTGTTATAACTGATACTTGTAGCCCATGATATTCAATTGAATCATTGAGTCATCAGTATAACTTTCTATAAGATGACTGAAGCTTAACCATTTGATACATTTGGTTAAGTAATTTCTCAATAAATAGCAACCCTGTAACTATCTTGGCTAACTTCCATTAATATCAACCACAGTTTGACCCTGCTTTCCAAATTATGTCCCATATTTAATTTCCTTCTTCATGTGAGTTGTCCTTCTGTTAATATCTGGGATGTGCAAGTTTTTTTAAGGAAAATATTTGGTCATACGCAAAACTGGTTTTAGTCCACTACTTTGTTTGCTTGTCTGTAGCGGTCAGAGAGATGTTGGTAGTTAATGTGGTCTGTTGTACTGTATTTATATCGATTCCTGTTATCCCTTTATATCTGTTAAATACTTATCAAAGATACTAGGCTGATAATTTTGTAAGCCAGACGCTTGTCTACAAACGATTCATCAGTGAATAAAAAACTTGAAAAGCTAAATAAAGAACGAAGTTGGAAGAGCATTGAGAACAAAAAATCTAAAAGATTTTGCAAAATACAGCTAAGATAATATATTCCTGCAGTAGAAAAATCCTTACAATTCAAAGTTTTATAAACAGTTAATTCATAGGAAATGCAATATATGAAACACAAAGTCTGGAAATTAGTATTAATTAATATTGCTAAATATTGTAAATGCAGGTGCTTGTATATTGGGAACAACAGGACAATTAAAAATATCATACGTTTTAAAATTAAAAGTAGATGTGATCAACATGACCTTCAAATTATTTATTGGAAGGAGTAAGAAGCTTCAGGGGTGATCTAGAACATTTTAGTGACGTGATATCAGAATATTGGGAACAACAGGACAATTAAAAAATATCGTTTGTTTTAAAATTAAAAGTAGATGTGATCAACATGACCTTTACATTATTTATTGAAAGGAATAAGAAGCTTCAGGGGTGATCTAGAACATTTTAGTGACATGATATCAGAATTTGTCTAGACGATAAACAATATATGCATATTTTGACAAAAGGACATTGCATGGCATGGTTTATAATTGATAGCAAAGTAACCATTAATAACCAACATGACAGTCACCGAGCGATTGAAGAGTATTGAAATTAAAAAAGTCTAAAATGTTGTACTCAATCGGACTAAGTACGGCTTTGCCATTGTGTAGAAAAAGCTAAATGATTCGCATGATTTAAACTTTCGTAAAAAATTTACAGAAATTATATCTTCCTATGTATGTTCATTCAGCTGACAGAAGTGCCAACTACTGGACTGCTGAAATCCTTGAGAACGAAATGTCCAGTAGTTATTGACATCAACCCACTAGGTTGCAAAACCCAGAAAAATATGAAATGCTTATCAATTTTGAAGCAGTAAAACATTGTCATATATGTAGAAAATAATGATGAAAATAATTATTACGTAGTTTGCTTTGTAAATGAAACTAATGTTTAATAATTTATTATCTGCGATTTGGTGTATGAGAGAACAAATAAAAAAAAATGTGAGGCAAGAGATTCCCAATAAAATGACATACGTACTCCACATACAAACCTAATGGAAACAGCTTTTCGACAATCAATGAATTTTGTTATATACAACGCGCAAGTTTAAATAAAATATTCTAAGACTTTTAAAATCATACACTGGGATTTTCATCCATATTAACAGTGCATTCCTCTACCAAAACGTGCGCACCAATCAGATAATATATTACAAAAAAATTCGGGTGCTTGCGGTGCGATTGGTCAATGGTTTCATGTGACTATAGGATGCTAGATGCTGACCCACAACATTCGCCATCTTGCTGAATTTATTTAGATCCAAACCACAATTTTTGTTCGCCTCAATTTTCATTGTTTTCAGTCGAAACACATAAGACATGACTTCCGATTCAAGAGTAAGTGGTTCAAATTGAAGATTCCATTCTGTTTTTAAATATCTATAGCACGTGCATCTCATTTTCAGTTTGATCGCCGGGCTGTGAAAATTATATAGGATTGTGTCAATATTCTGCAGAACTAAACAGCAGCCAATATTTGTAGTTTAAATGTCATAGGTTGATTAATAGAGCTTTGAAAGCTCAATATTTTCATCCATCAATTAGTTATTGCGGTGTCGGTGACTTATATACACAAGGTCATTGGTGGAAAAAGGGGGGGATTGGGCTTTTAGAATCAAATTGCCATTAAAATTTTCTATTTTCATTATACAAATAGCAGGTTAGATTTTTCTTTCTTACCAAATCTGCCTGTACTCTGTTAGGGAACGACCATTTAACTTCAACAGAGTTCTTGAATTCTTTTTTCCCCTGGTGGTCCTTGAGGAAAAAATGTTGGTTTTCACTATCATTTCTATTGCAAAATACTGAAATTGTGCCAGTCCTTTGCAAATTTTGGTGGTCAAATCCTGAGGACCACCACTTTTCGAGAACTCTGCTTCATGGGGTGGGGGGTTATGTTATTTTTTTTTCTAAAATATTCTGATCCCCAACTTGATGAAAAAATATTCTAGTTAAGCAAATGACAAAAAAAAATAAATCTAATTGATCGCGTCAAACAACATAATAAATTTGTTGTGTTTTGCGTGATAAAAAATTGCTAAGAAAAAAAAAACATAACCCCCCCCCCCCCTTGAAGTTAAATGGTTGCTCCCTTATACATATGGCCAGAATATTACGTGAGGGTACAATTGCACCTTATTTGACAGTTTTTTCATCTACATTTGTTATGGTCTAGACGAAAGTTTCCATTATGTGTTTATTTTGTAGACTTATCCTTATTTACTTTATAGTTACACCATTTAACTTTGAAATAAGATGCTTGGAAAATACTTTATTTGTTCATTTTTAAAAGATGACTTTTTGTGAACATAGCATAGCGACGTTTCTGTAGATTTTACTTTTCCAGTGAATGCTTCATCTGTTGATACATACTGTGAAAGTTTTGTGTATATTTAATATATTTACCTAGGTAGAAAGAAGTCAGACAACATGAAATTTGTCGGACAAATCCGGTGAATAATGGATCGGTCTGGTAAAATTTTGATGAATTCCAGTCCGAATGTCTGGTGTTGTATTTTTCATGGATTTTTCTAAAAACCCTACATTTTTCCCAATTTTGGGAGCAAAATTCTCAAATGATCTCAAAATTCTTGTTCATCTTTATTAGTCCCCTACCGATGAAGTCCAAGGGGACTTTAGGTTTGCACTCCGTCTGTCTGTCCGTCTGTCTGTCCTTCTGTCAGTCCGGCAAATCAGTTTTCCACACTTTTTTTCTTCATGCTTGAAGATATTGATTTGATATTTGGTAAATTGTTTTATCATGACAATTTACAGATCAAGTTTGAATTTTGTTCCGCTCTGATAATTTTGTGCAGAGTTATGGTCCTTGGACTTGGAAAATTCACTCAAATATTCAGTTTTCTGCTTTTTTTTTCGTCATTCTTGAAGATATTGATTTAATAATTGGTACATTGTTTTATCATGACAAGTTACAGACCAAGTTTGAATTTTGTTTCGGTTTGATCATTTTTTGCAGAGTTATGGTCATTGGACTTAGAAAATTCACTTAAATTATCAGTTTTCTGCACTTTTTTTCGTCATGCTTGAAGATATTGACTTGATATTTGTTGTATAGTTAACACCATGACAAGTTATAGATCAAGTTAGCATTTTGTTCCAGTACAATTAAATTTTAACCAGTAGGGGACTATGTAATGCCATGCAAAACTTTCAGAATGCTTGTTATTCATGACAGCGATGTTTATTTTGTTCAACCGTTAGCTTTATGCCGAAAATCTCCAACAAGTAATGTGTAAATCTGAGTAAAAACATATTTGACTCTCAAAAACAACAATGGCTGCCATCAACAGGAAATATAGACAATACCGGATCAGATTCCGGGAACGGATAAGGCCAATTCCTGGTTTGCCGACCAAATACAATAAATAAATAAAAAAAAAAAATCCAAGCAGGTTCACAAAATATAGCTATGAAATATAAACACTAGAATTGAAAACCAAAAGATATATGAAAAAGAAAGAAGATACAGGAAATATTTTTTACAGAAACTTAATTATTTTTAGTTCACAAATAATTTGCATGTCAAAATCCAATGAAATGTCACATAACTTTTCTTTATCACTGAAATGCTTTCAAGCAATTATGCACAACTTTCATTAAAATATACACTCTTGTCACATGATTTTGTTTTTGTGCATTTTGGAGAGGAGTAGGGATCAACAAGTCAAAAGTTTGTTGTATTTCGTCGGATAATATACAATGAGATGTAAAAAAGAAATTGGTCTGGTAAAATTTCATTCGGTCTGGTAAAGCTAGGTTGTTTACCAGACCGAATGTCCTGTAAAAATAAAATTCATTCGTGTAGTCTTGGACGTGTACATGTATAATGTCAAATCATAAAAATACAAATTGTTTTGTTTCAAAGAAATCTTGTTAGATTTCCACCGCTATTTTTGTTGAAGGAGGTGCAATTTGGGTACTGTGACGTTAGACATGTTAGAATTGGACAGTTGTCCTATTCTAAACTTTTTGCGGCTGGGCTTCATCTAGATTTTATACACCTCATCACTATTTGAAAATCTGTGTAGGTTGATCCGAGAATATTCGCCACTATTGAAGCCATACAGGAATCACTTTAACATTGTGGCGTCAGATATTTTCTATTACTTCAAAATTTACGTGAACTTTTGTGATTTCCAGTGAAACCAGGAACACGAGGACCTGCACCATTTGTAATTTGTCAATAAATGAACTTGGTTTTAACAGATTTTGCGTCATATCTGTCCAGTGTTTTGATGAAATATTTTGTACACTTTTTAGGCGTTTATATAATTAAGTATTGTGTACATTTATCTTTACTCGTAACGATTCAGCGCCCTGGTAAGAAAGAATGTTGACTAATATTTAGACGTTTTATATATTCATATTGAATATATTTATATGCATATTATAAAATGAAAAACATCGTGTGTAAATTGTTTTAATGGAACAACTATATTTTAAAAGGGAATTGTATAGAATTGTTTTTTTTTTATATATTTTAGACTGTTTTTGGAGCAACATCATCCAGACCAGAACTTCAGTGTCCAGCTGCAGCAACTGTACAACAGTTTGATGATAGGGGTAAGACTAATTATGCTTTAGTACATATACATGTCATGCATGTACCATTCTGTGAATGAATGAACAAAGAAGTTAATACTTCATCCTTGTGCACTTTAAGTAAATTATGTAAATAAATAACTCTATTGATAATAAAATCACTGCATCTTTTTTGCACCATAGTAGTAATTCCAAAAGTTAATTAATTATTTGCCATCATTCCAATTGTTTCTTGCAGTCCATGCACACATGTTATATAATTTAAGATAGTTTATTGGAATAACCTGTCTTTTATTTTACCAGCTATACATGTAATATGCCATATACAACACTCTTAATTTTTTTCAGAATGGAAATCCAATCTATTCAAAAATTTAAGTCAGTGTACAGATGTCATTCACCAAGAGGAACATTGTTCATCTGCCCTGAAGGAAGCTGGCTTTGCTTCACCAGAAACACCATTTTTATTGCAGTTAGAGAAGTCACTTCTTGATATAGCTTTGCCAGCCTTATCTGACGGGACCTTTTACTGTTCATTGTTCAAAATTGAGAACAACTGCTACTGTAGATTTTTTGAAAGTGGTGTTTTGGAAGGTTATTTTTTAGCTGAAGGTAAATTTTGTTAAGAATAAGCTTCACTGTTCTATAACTAATCAATATTTGTTGGTTTCTCAAACTGTAGTGGTCTATTATAATTCAAGTTCTGTTTGCATGTTTCTAAATTGTAAGGTACATTCTTACTAAAAGAAACATTTTAGGCAAAAGGCAGTAATCATATATACAGTATATCCAATTATTTTAAGCAATATTTTTCCCAATAACAGAGGAGTCCCTTAATGTTGTATGTCAAGTAGTAATTAGAATGCAATACATGTCTAAGCAGTTTTTTTGTCGTAACTTTTGATTTCAAAGTTATCACATTAGTAATATACAGAGTAAAAAATCATGCAATCATCTGTAATAGTTATCGATTAAAATTGTGTAAAAGGATGGTATAAAGCATTAACATTAGTATTTTTAAGCAGTTCATTTCAATCTGCATTCTTTTCACATAAAATAAGGAGATCATTTTAGATTTGAAATTAATTTTAATTGTTATTAATATATTACAGGTATAAGATATGTAAAATCTTACATGGAAGAGAATTTTGACAATATTTCAATGGGAAAGTTCATTTGGTGCCAAGTTTCAACCCCAGAAGACATAACGCAGTACCATCAAAGATATGCTAAAAGATTGGACAGAAAAAGAAGTCATAAGGCTATAAGTAAGTTTAAAAGCACTTGAAAAAAAAATATCCAGGGAGATCGTGTGTCGTTTTCTAAGCATCCCTTCTTGGCATTTTATAGAAATATTTCTTTGTTTTAATTTTATTTAACTAACTATCATTAAATATACAACAAAAATATCTTTAAATTAAAGATTAAACTATCAAAAACCCTCTATTTTTATCTGATAGTTTAGATGTATTAATGCAAATCAATTTTCTCGTTGAATTTTATCAAATTCTATCGCTTAGTGTTTCCTCATTAAGGAAAAAATCAGTTTCCCCTATAAAACTAATATTTTGTTAATTTCAATATACTTAAACAAAAAAACAAGGTCCATGCCCCCGCAGTTTTTATATTGAAGTTTGAAAGAACATTGGCATAGAAGTCTTTTACAGAAGTTTAAGAAAAGAATATCGTTGAATACTTAGATTTCCAGAAACCTTGAGAATACTCTTGTGTGGTATACAATGTGACTACATCTTATTTACGTTCAATTGGTCAAATATTGAATATTAAAAAGAGTTACCAGTACTCATTTTATGTTAATTGCAATGTCTTTTTCATATCCTATATATGTGACCTACAAGATAATATCTATTCTTATTGTAGATCTATGCTAAAATGGAGTCATTCAAGATTTGAAATCAACTTTTAGGATTAGAGATTGAATTTTTAAACTACCACCTATATTGAATTCAATATTATATATTTCAGGTCAACCCTCTGCAGATATTGGGCGAAGATTTAATTATTTGATGACAAAAAATAAAGGAAGTGTTGTGAATGCACACAGAAATCTTTTGGCCAAGGCACAAACATTAAGTCCAACATCAGAAAACCTCCAGTTTCTTGGAACTGTTTTGCATGTAATTAAAAAGAATTCCCACAAAGAAACAAATCAGTTATTAGCAAGGTTAGAAAAAGAATATTGTATAAGACCAATACACCTTTTTAGAAAGTACATATATCTTACTAAAACTGAGTGTGAGTTCTACTGAAAAGTTTGCAGCTCACAATTATTTTTTTTCTAGTAAGATAAATGTATTAAAAGTTTGTAGTAATAGATATTAAGCAAAAATTGTCTGCTTGAATATGTGTAGAGTTAAATGTCGATGAGAAAGTAAAACAACAATTTACTAAAAGTACTATTATAATCCTTTTATGCTTACCACTAGAGACATTTGGTGTCGTATTAAGATAGTGCTGTATTTGGAAAGCATCTTTTGGATGTTCCAATTTTAACTAGTATTCTTTTAAATGTGACAATTTGTACTTGTATTTTCAATCATGCTGAAAAATATAAAGAGAAAATTGGATACGAATATGGAAAATATACTTCTACTAATTGAACAAGAAGTACTTTTTGAAATAGAATTGGTTACAAGTTAATTATTTCTATCAGTTCAACAACAAACAAAGAAAAACAACATTTGCACAACATTCAGAGAAATATGCATGATAAATTTGATTAAACAGGACATATGAGATTGTACATCACAATATGTACAGTTCTTTAAGACATTAAAGAATGTTAATAATGAAATAAAAAATATTAAAATAATCGCTTTTCTTTTTAGGTACCATGAGGCTACAGGTGCATTTAGATCGGCCTCACATACATGGGAAAACTCCTTTCAGCAGTATAGAGTGAATGGTGTACCCCAACATCTACCTGAATTTTCATCTCTATTAGATAATCCAAGAAGTTCACATTTCACTTGGCATGAGAAGTGCATGATAATATCGGCTATCCCCAACAACCATTACTGGGATGAAGTAGATCAGGCCCATGTGGGATATGCTAGGATGCTGTCTGTTAGAGATGAAGTAGGGAAGAAGAAACCAGCATCTTTAAGGAATTTAATATTACTCCACTGCAGAGACAAAGATTTTGGGACCATCTATCAGCTAGTTAAAAGGTACAAGAACCCAGCAACAGAAACATCTGCAATCCAGAGTACGGTAAACCAAACCTCAAATTACACCGATGTTAGCCAACCTGAAGAACAAAGATCTGCTAGAACCCGACGCAAAGCTCTTACAGAGGAAGACATTCTTAGAAATTTGACCATCTTAAATCCAGATTTTATTGAAGAAAACAGATCCACAGAAAATTCATTGTACCAACAGTATAAAACTGCTCAAATAGAAACAGGAACCCTTCAATTGAGACTTCACAAACCCCACATTGACATATTATGCATGAATGATATCAACATGAATACTGGAACTATATATGACTTTTCTTATGTTCATATGACTAGAACTTTGGAAGGAAATGAACTACATTATAATTGTACTTGTAAACTATATGCCACCCTTCTTCACCTTGCAACTTTAAATGACAATCTTGATGCTGAAATCTATGATGTTAATATTCGATGCTGCCATATTCGTCTTTTTAAGGAAGTGATTGAACCAATTTTTGTTAATGTTTTTACTCCAGAATCCATTCCACAACCAACTAAAAGTCAAGAAATTGTTATTAAATCTTTAGAACTGCTGGACAAACCTGTTTGTATTTTGCCATCAACATTGAAAACCAAGAAATTTACCGTAAGAGACGAAAATGATACTGAATCCTGTAATTTTGTTCACCTATCCAAAAACCGTTTAATATGTCAATCTGGGGAATGCCAAACAATATATGGATGTTCTCAAAGAAAAATAATATATCTGGAAGAAACTACCAATATATGTCCTCATCTTGATGCCATGAAGAAGAACAGAAATTTATGGTTAGTTAATCTGGATAACATGGAGGATGACAATGATGACGAAGACGATGATCAGTTTAACAACCAACCGAACCCGGATGATGATGATGATGCAGAACTCAATGAACCTGTGCAAACAGATAGAATTTCACAGGTATATTTAAAGAAGGCCTACAAGATACATAGTTGGATTTCATCCTGGTTAAAAATTAATCAATTACGAGGTCTTACTTTTTCTAATACATATATAAACAAAATCAATCAATGGTCTCATGGATAATAATGTAGAGATAAGACCATGGCATGTTGTGAGTGGTCAAATCAATCCATGGTCTCATGGATAATTATGTAGAGATAAGACCATGCCATGTTTAGGGTGGTCAAAACAATCAATGGTCTCATGGATAATAATGTAGAAATAAGACCATGGCATGTTGTGGGTGGTCAAATCAATCCATGGTCTCATGAATAATTATGTAGAGATAAGACCATGGCATGTTATGGGTGGTCAAATCAATCCATGGTCTCATGGATAATTATGTAGAGATAAGACCATGGCATGTTATGGGTGGTCAAATCAATCCATGGTCTCATGGATAATAATGTAGAGATAAGACCATGGCATGTTATGGGTGGTCAAATCAATCCATGGTCTCATGGATAATAATGTAGAGATAAGACCATGGCATGTTGTGGGTGGTCAAATCAATCCATGGTCTCGTGGATAATAATGTAGAGATAAGACCATGGCATGTTGTGATTGGTCAAATCAATCCATGGTCTCATGGATAATTATGTAGAGATAAGACCATGCCATGTTTAGGGTGGTCAAAACAATCAATGGTCTCATGGATAATAATGTAGAAATAAGACCATGGCATGTTGTGGGTGGTCAAATCAATCAATGGTCTCATGGATAATTATGCAGAGATAAGACCATGCCATGTTTAGGGTGGTCAAAACAATCAATGGTCTCATGGATAATAATGTAGAGATAAGACCATGGCATGGAGTAGGTGGTCAAATCAATCCATGGTCTCATGGATAATTATGTCGAGATAAGACCATGGCATGTTATGGGTGGTCAAATCAATCCATGGTCTCATAGATAATAATATATAGATAAGACCATGGCATGTTGTGGGTGGTCAAATCAATCCATGGTCTCGTGGATAATAATGTAGAGATAAGACCATGGCATGTTGTGGGTGGTCAAATCATTCCATGGTCTCATGGATAATATGTAGAGATAAGACCATGACATGTTGTGAGTGGTCAAATCAATCCAGGGTCTCTTGAATAATAATGTAGAGATAAGACCATGGCATGTTGTGAGTGGTCAAATCAATCCATGGTCTCATGGATTATAATGTAGAGATAAGACCACAACATGTTGATTACACATTGTGTTGCAAAAAAATAAGAATTAATAAAATAATATGTTAACGCATCTAAAAATAGACAAATCAATCATAACTGACCTTGAAATGTTGTTTATGCAAAACATTTTGAGGAGCGAAACGTGTGTTTAAAACTAATAACAATAAATTCTTTTTCTTTTTTGTCATAGTTCTGTAAGATGTATCATCTCATAGATGAAATGGACCTGTGCATACAGGAAAGATGTCAAGTTCAAGTAATGGATATTCACAAACAATTTGGAATTTTCTTGTTTCATAGGTATTAAAAAAGAAAGTCCATTTGGATATCAGAAACGGAATGCATGACAACTTATAAATTTGATAACCGTGTTTTTAAAGTTGACGAGTCTATTTTGTTTTTGACACGGACATTAGGGATGGTAAAATTTATTAAAGTACGTGTTTACAATTTTTATCTCAGTTTTTCGTGCTTGAAGGTCATCGTTTACCATGTTTCCTGAAATTTGATTAAAAGTAACATGGATTTGTTTTTTCTTGTTTGTGAAATGACGATTTCGTATTATCTATGTGGCACATTGTGTGTCATGCTACATGTAACTTGAATCAAAACACGATAAGTCTGTTGCTGAACCCAATAAGTGCAGAAACGCCAACAAAACATGATAAGTCCTTTACCATTCTACACCGTGTACATGTACAGAGAGATATAAGTTAATATTTATCAGTTCTCTGCTTCATATTGTTGTTGTTATTGAGTTTTTTAGTTTTAAAGAAATCATCATACCAGCTAACGAAGTCCGAGATTACTCTTGATGTCTAACAGCTGTAATAAAGAAAATAAAGGTAGGTAGGTATGCGAAACTTAAATAAATGAATAAAGAAATGAACAAATTGAAGCCCGATTTATATAGATCAGAAGCCGTCAGTTGACTAGAAAAGCAACGAAGTGTGGTGTATTCCTTTTGGACAAGCAAATTTCTACTTTTTGATATAGCTCTGACGTCCCACTGCCCAGCTTGTCTGGCAAAACAGTCATTGGACTTCAGAGTAATCTCTCTGGGACTACAGCTTGGGGGGTGGGTCTTTAACCACCAAACACCCAAAAAACCATCCAACCACCAAGAAAATCAGTGATATTATACAATAAAACGATAAAATAAATTAAATTACGTATAATTTAATCACATTTTAGATTTTTATGTGCATCATTTTCATGTTAAGGTAGATGGGGTGTCTAAATTATAATCCATAGAATTTTTTAATAATTTGCCAAAATGTAGTTTATATCAAGCTTTTTAAAAAAAATGATAAAAAGAATGGGTCACGGGGCTTATTTTCACGCTACAGGTTGTTCAAAATTAACAGATTTTGTATAGATTATGCATGGAAAACCCAATTTTCTGCCATAAAACGAAAACTACACCATAGAATTTTGAGATAAAATATGAGAAGATAGCTTTAATATTATGCTTTCAGATAAGAAAAAGAAAAAATGGGGTCACCGTACTCGTTTTCTTGCTACATAATAAGATAGGTAAATTCCTAACACATTCTATTGTAAAAGTACCTTTATCTGAATTATCTGCCCTTACATTTGAGTTGCCTCCCCTTATGTGGCAAAGTTGGAAAAAATTGAATCAAACAAAAGTTTTCTGTTTTTTGTAAAATACAACCATAAATATGATAAAACATGTCATTTTCTATATTGAAATGAAAATTCTTACACATGAATTACCTACTACTCTCAAAATTTGCATATTCTATTAAAGATCTAGACCGATTGTTTTCAGGTATTACAAAATCCAAGATGGAGGAAGACACCCTATCTACCTTAAAGTCGATAATCAATATAATCAATATAAAGAAAAACGTCTCCAGATTCATCACTTTTTTCCGGTTTACATTGTGTGTGTGTGTATATATATATATTTCAAATAAAATTCAAATGTGTGTGTATATATATATTTCAAATAAAATTCAAATATATTCATAATTAGTAATCAGTTAAGGTATACTCGATCGATCTCTGTTCATCGGTTAGATTTTGATATTTGTCTCTTTTCTTATTATTGGTACATCTTTTTTTTAAAGAAGAAAGAAAATGAAAAAAAAATATATATTTGGGGTGTCCAGCAGGGCTTCCAAAATTATTTTTAGCCAGCCGGACATTTTATATATTATCCCGATTTTAATCCCTTAAGACTAAATAAACAAAAGGCAATTATGGTAATCAGTTGCCGAGTTGGCCATCCCAATGATTGATATTTTAAAAAAAACGATATTAAACTTTCTTTGATTCAAATTCGAAGTTCTGACGTAAACTGTTAAATTGGCAGTGCATCATCCGAAGTGTGCAACATCAGCGTACTTATATCTGACTTAGACTCTTTATTTGTGCAAAATAACGTTGTCCAAAACTTTACTTTCGTTTTTAAATCTGAAACCGGATGTTATCTTGACAATGGTAAAACATGGACCAGAGACGGATACGTAAATTCCGTGTACGTTTGCAAAGCATGAATGAGTGTAAGTAGCTCATTCTACGTTATTTCTTCAAAGAAAATATTTGAAATAAACGTGAGATAAAGGTATCAATGACAATTTAAGCATTTTTGAAAAAAATTAGGGTGCATAATTAAATTTCACACCTGCGCACATGCACACGTGTACTAGTTCAAACAGAGACATGTCTCTGGTTCAAACAACGTGGTTATGACGATTTTTCATTTTCACCTCTTCAATTTTTTCATCAAATCTTATTTGTAAATGTATTTCTGATAATTTAAATCTTTTTGACTAAATTAATTAGATGCAAACCGGTGAATGTAAGAAAATAACTTTGAATAGACCGATCAATGTCCGGTTCAAAATAGTTTACCTGTCACCTGAACAGGTAAATTTCAGCTGTTCGACAACTAATTAGCCTTGATTAAAATGAGAAGGTATTAAAGTAGGGGTTGTTATGATAGTACTTAATGATCATGTCACTTTTATGACCGGAAATGTGTGGCTGTTAAAGGCAAAAGTTTGGGTCAAAAAGATCGCGAATTATGTTAAAATGACCGTCTCTTAAGAAAGCCTTGAAATCTAAAAAGTAGATGACCGTTTCGTGCTTTGCTCAGCCGGACTTTTACCGGACATTATACAAATGTCCAGAATATATGACCGTTTTGGAAGCCTTGGTTTCCAGTGGTGTTCTCCTATTAAGTTCGATGTAGATATTTGGTCTATTAAGCTTAATATTTGTTGAATTAATAACTAAAATAATATATTTAGGTCACATTTATAAAGATACAAGATAAAAACAAATTTTTTGGGGTGTTTGGTGGTGTTCGGTGGTGAAAAGACCTACCGCAGCTTGGGATACAT